GTAGCAATTTTATGGTGCCTATTCCATTTACTTTACATGTTATATTGTTACCTATTATGACTTGCCTACCAGTAGTTTTTTCAATTTCAAGAAAACTATTCTTATTAGGGCACATATGAAAGGAACAGCCTGAATCAAGGATCCATTCATCACTTAGTCTCTTGTCCCCATTAACAAGTACTAGGCCATCTTCATTTTTATCTTTGTTATACAATAAGGCTGCATCCCCAACTTCATATTTCTTTTCTTTTGTCTCATTTTTCTTTTTATAACAGTTTTTAATAAAATGACCTTGTTTTCCACAATAAAAACATTTCTTTCCTTTGGCCTTGTTTTTAGACTTTCCCTTATCACCCCATTTTTGCTTAGTTTCAAATGAAGCCTTTGAGTGATAATTAGGTTTACTAAAGCCTTTTCCTTTTGCCATTAAAGTATCCCCACTATGAGTTTCTTTTGTTTCAGATTTTATTTCAAGGGCCTTATTTTTTAGGGCATTAATTATTATTTTTGTAGTAAGTTCATCCCTGCCATATTCTAAGGCAACCTTGATATCTTTATATCTATCACTAATAGAGTTCAACAAGATCATAGCCAACTGATCTTGTGAAAGTTTTTCATCAAAGTTGGTAAGATCTTGAGTCAATTTTGTAAACCTATTCAAGTTATCATCCAAGTCAGTGGAAGGGTCCATTTTAAAAGAAAAGAGCTGTTTTAACAGATAACATTTGTTAGGAATGGTTTTTGTCACATACTGTTTTTCTAATTTGGTCCACAGTTCAGAAGCTGTCTTAGTTTCACCAATAGTTCTTATAACATTCTCAGACAGATACAAGAAAATAGTGCTCCAGGCTATCTCTTCTAATTCAACCTTCCTAGTAGGGTTCATGTCTTGAGACCAAGTGTCATCTAAAGCCCTAACACATCTCATTTGCATCAGTATAGCTTTCATCTTTTGACTCCACATATTGTAATCAATTTTTCCATCGAATTGTGCAACCTCAAATTTAGCAGTAGCCATTTTCTTATGTCACATAAAATGTACAAGTTCGAGTTAAAAATCACACAACAGCATACACTGGACACACAACAATGTCAACAAGGAGTATTGTTCTCAGTATTGATCAAGAATACACAACACATGCAAGTTTAAAACATATAAGTAATATGCAGATCAAATCAAGGACTCAACAATAGCAGGCAGAAATTTTAGGTTTCTGAGAAGTTCCTCCTTCAAGATCCCCGAGATGCACCCCCAAATTGGGCTTTTCTCAGATTTCCAAGACCTCATAGGAGTCTTTGGACAAAGACCAGACACCAGTGGGTAAATGGTGTATGGTTAATCAAGGGAAGAAAATCGAAACACACAATTTCATAAAGTAAACTTTACAAGTTTAGACAGATCTCACCCAACAAGTATAAAATACTCAAGGTCCTTCAATACTGTTTAAAAATAATTCCAGAAATTTCAAATCTGCCGCAGATCGAGCCCTCCTTCAAAGATCCAGGTATCTTGCCCCAGTTCAACGCTCTGATACCACTGAAAGGGGGCAAAAAAAACCCACACATTAATTGCAAGATACAATCGAGCTCAAAACAGAAATTAAACTTGCAGAAAATAAATAACACAACAAGATTTTCCTGCCGAAGCCCTAGAGGTTCAGTGACAAGCACCTAATCCCCTATTGAGCATCCAATTGAAGTGGATATTGCTCGGTTGCACTAAAGGCCCAAAAATAGGCAATTGAAGGTAACAGAGTTCAATCACTATAAGAATACACAAGAAAGAGACTTATCTCTTCAAAAGGAACCACAGATTTGCCTCAGACTCGCACCGAATCAACAGACCACATTCCTAATCTCAACACATGAGAACTCTAAGTTTCACTCAAGAAAAGATCAATATACAATGATTAATAACCTTCCAAAACATCAAATGAGATGATCGATTACAGAAAATAGGGAAGACTGAAAACCCTAACTCGAGAGAGACGACGAACTCTCTCGAACCTCACTCAAGAGTCACACAAAAATGAAAAGTCACTGAGCCAAATGAACAGTCCATCCTATTTATATCACCAGAGCGTAAACCCTTCATCCAACGGTGGAAATTAAGCCAGGTGTCATCATCAGTCAGAATGCCATTTATAAAGCTTTATTTTCAAAACACGTTTTGTTAGCTGAAAATATGGGAGCACAAATAACAGGGTTCAAGTCTCAACAATACTCATTTTCAACCACGCATTTTATGAGATTCACAACATGTCAACTACACATTTCATCAACACTTATCAAAATTTACTTAAAATAAACTAAACATTGGATCAAAAGTCCATGAAGAACATATTGACAGGCAATGCCATTCATTGATGTAGTTTTTTCTTTCTACAAATGTTACCATGTTAACTATAAAAGACAAAAGATGGAAGTTGATCAACCCATATAAAAATGGTTGACTCGCAAAGTACATAAGCTAAAACATTTGCTTCATGTCAAACAAAGGTACATTTTAAACAAACTTTTTGGCTGACTGCAATTCCAAGTCCTCTAGGAATGCTATACATTGCCGATATAAGGAGGAAAGCTCACAATACAACTTTAATAAGAAGACGATAATTAACACTTTGGAGCAGAGACGGCAAAATACCCCTTGATCATCCTTCTCGAATTTGTATTTTTATAGCTCATGTTTGGACCAGAGTGTCCTGGTGCTATAAGGGTTCAGTCCAAAGCTAATACTATTTCCTGTCAGCCTTCCTTATCACCCGTGTTTGGACCAGAGTCTACAAGGTTTGCCCCTTGATCCTACTGTTATAAGAGTTCTGCCCTAAGTGGATATTCCTTTTTTGTCAACCTTCCTCCCCTCTCGTATTTGGACAAGAGTGTCCTAATGCTACAAGGGTTCGTCTCGAAGCTGATTCTTTTGTGTCAGCCTTGACAAGTGTCCTTATGTTATACGGGTGATTCTTTTGTGCAACCTTCTCGAACAAAGAAAATTAGTGTGTTTTAATCAATGTTTTAAAAGGCGTAATACATAGCTATGCGTGGAGGCAAATGGGCTAGGGGAGTTTAGGCGAGGCATATGCATAAAAAAGGATAAAAGGCGTTTTCTTATTTTAATGTTATTTTAATTTTTACTCAATCAAAAAGTCATTTAATTATTAAAAAAAATACATACAAAATGAAAGTTTAGGGAATGTTCTACAACCACTTGAAAATTCACGAGAATGATTTACTATGTCAAATTCAAATTTTAGCGTTACCAAGTTTACGTTCCAATTTACCGTTTGACCTTACGCGCGGAATTAATACAATTAATTGTAACAAGTCACAAATTAATTGTTGTCTAAGTGATTAAACGTACACGTCCAATTAAGCCTATGTTGAATTGTTAATTTGCGTAAAGTAAATAAAACAGTAATAACACCAACTTTCAATATGATGACGAAGAAACCCTAATGTAGGTAAAACTCTGGGACCAAGCCAGTAGTTTCCACTATATCAATCCAGCCAGTACAAGTTATGCCAAACTCTGTACCAAGTCAGACTCGCTGTTCTAGTCTCACGATCTACTACCGTAGATACTGCTAGTCTCCTGCTAGCTTCCCGATCTACCTCCTGCAGCCCAATCTGCTTCCAATACAGCCCCCTGGCCTCTAACTGATTGTATCACCAAGTGAAATTCCAAGAACCTCCTGTTCTTGTCCAATTCTTGCGCTTGTCATCCATCTCTCTCAATCTCCTAATGAGAGAGTCCCTTCCTCAATAGATGAAGAAGTCCAAGTGTTTTGTCTTCACAAATAGTGATGTTTTCCCCAATAGTGGATTGCCCGAATCACAATGTATTTATGGATGAATTCCTTGTTCAGTTCTGCCTTAGATCACTTGAGAGAATATTGAAGATGATATCTATGTAAAGCACACTATGTCAATCTTTCTTTCACGTTCACAGCCTTTGTACTTATAGTTGGGGGCAATTATGAGTCCTAGGCCGAGTCAAACTTTCCAGAAATCGAAAATACGATTTTCCATATAACACCGTCGCTCGAGCGAACAGCGAGTGACGCCACTTCGCTTGAGCGGCGAGCGAGCGACGACCATTCTGCTTCCCCTCGCTTGAGCTGCGGCAGGGCGAATAGCTAGTGAACTTCTGGCACCGCAGCCTTGATTTGAACCAAACACTCAAACCCTAGTCCCTACCATTTAGCTTTGCTAAATTGCACTCTAATTCCCTGACTTTTATAACATTGTACAATTGAGTCCCTGACTTTTACAAATTTACAATTTAGTCTTTTTGTACACAGAATCGTCAATTACACCCTTAAACCTAACACAAAACATCTAATACAGATTTATAGGAACTTTAGACAAAAAAATTTTAAAAGTTTCAAATGTAAATACCAAGTAGTAAGTTTCAAATGTAAATACCAAGTAGTAAGTTTCAAATGTAAATACCAAGTAGTAAATAAGTAGAAATTTTAGGGAATTTTCCTTTGTTCAAGGTTTCAAACGGTTGTTTTGAGTTTGGAGCAGACTAAGTGAAGAAATCAACCTTTAAATTTTAAATTAAAAGAATTATAATTTTTTTTTAAAAAAATAATGCGCGCGTAATCACGCTTAGACACGCATTAATGGTCAACGGTAATTGTTGACGTCTAAATAAGGAGCTAAGTCGAATAAGTAGAAATTTTAGGGAATTTTCCTTTGTTCAAGGTTTCAAACGGCTGTTTTGAGTTTGGAGCAGACTAAGTGAAGAAATCAACCTTTAAATTTTAAATTAAAAGAATTATAATTTTTTTTTTAAAAATAATGCGCGCGTAATCACGCTTAGACACGCATTAATGGTCAACGGTAATTGTTGACGTCTAAATAAGGAGCTAAGTCGAGTGACTTGGCATTTCTGCTACGCATTGTACATAGGAGGCGTCGTCTAGACACGCCTTTTAGAACATTGGTTTTAATACCTTTCTATCTCGACTCAAGAAAATCGGGTTCAACCCTCTCCTGCCATCCCTGATTTGGAGTCTATACTCCTTCGAACATTGCCAAACTAATTAGGGTATTGAAAAATGTCTACTGTTTGAACCTTCTCCTCATCCACTCAAATTCTTCTGTAGTTGCTTCTGCCCAAACCAAAAAAATAAAAAAATAAAATTTTACCTCCAAGAATACAACTACTACCAATCTACCATGAAGGGGACGAGACTATGATAGCAGAGTAAGAATCAACACAAAAAGAGATAGAAAGGGAAATATTTGAATCTGGGCTCGAGAATTGGACTCAAATATGAGAGCACAATTCTTCCAATTCACGCAAAGATGGAAATCAACAGCCAAAGAAGCCATGGATCACACCATCCTTTTCGCCAAATTCCTTTGCCTCTTACACGTTACCAACAATTATCTCTGCTCGCCTACTCTGGTACAGATTCATTTTTGCCGTCTTAAATTTGTAACATTATGATGTAATCGATTTATTTGCATTTTTGTCTTTCTGAAGGTGTATGGACCGAGCATGCTACCTACGTTGAATTTAACTGGCGACGTGTTGTTGGTGGAGAAGATGTCGCATTTGCTTGGAATGGTGGGGCCGGGCGACGTCGTTTTAGTGCGGTCGCCGGAGAACCCTAGGAAAACAATTACGAAGCGCATTGTGGGCATGGAGGGTGATAAGGTCACCTTCTTAGTGGACCCCAATCATAGTGATCGCTCTCACTCCCTCGTGGTATGATTTTTTCTGTTAATTTCTTGATTTCAATTTCAGTTCTGCTCTTATTTTTAGTTCAATCGTCAATCCCTGCACATTTGTTGAGTGCCTTTGTTAGTGTGAAATTGGGTCTTTCTGAAGAGGAATTTGAGGTCTTGGCCTACTGGGGAAAAGAACTAAGGTCGAAGCTAGTTCTGATGAGTTTGTTCAGTTCTTTGTTGTCTGTTCCACTTATTAGTGTGTGTTATTTGTAGATGGTGTTGATATATCTTGTACCTTCTAATTGTGATACAAAAATTGAAGTGTTATTATTGGAATTAGAAATGATTCAATCCAACTTGGAATAGAGCTTTCTCAAATTCTAGTTCATGAATGGACAAGGAGTTGCCAAACGAAACCGTGACATTGATCAGGGTGCATGTGCTCGGTAACTAAGAATTATCAGATAAAAGAGCACTGATATTACATAAGTTGTTCATCTTTGTCAACCAATTATCAATAAAGATTTCTGATTTAATCAAGAAATAAACTAATATTATACACTTCTGAAACATTTAGTAGGATGGTCACAAGCATGACAAATATTCAGAAAGTTGAAAATAAATTAATAATAAGTGATCACTATGAGAAGTGATTATTCTTGTTATTATTTAGTTTGTTTAAACCAAACTAGATGGGTCTTGAGGATAAATTATCAGTTCAGCCTTGGATCTGCCTGATTTCTTCTCTTTAAGATTTGAAATGGCCACAAAGTCATGATTGAGGGGGTTGTGTTTGGTGGGTGCTTTTTGAATGGTGCCCTTTTGCGACAGTGTAATAATTTCGTAATCTTCACGAATTCAAACTATCTCTAATTGTTGTGACCATGAGGCTAAAAGTTATTTTCATATTTAATAAAGGAAAAAATGGTCTTTGTTTGCTTTGGCTAACAATTTAGTTCAAAGCATCTGGAATTCTTGTGATGTATCTGACTGATGAGAAAATTAAGTGAGCTCTGAGTAGAAATTTTCTTCATTCTCCTGCATACTCATGAGAGAGTTCACATATCGACTGTGAAGGCACCTGCATGCTAACTTCATTACATCCACGGGCAATATGAAGTAATCAAATCCAATCAATTTGACAGATTTTGAATGACCTTTGCTGTAATGTTTCGCATCAAAGGATTTCTATTATTTTCTATTTTTTCCCCTGTTCAGGATGATGTTATTAAGCCTCTGTTTGGGAAGAATTTATAAATGGCTTAATTTATAAATAGATACACTTGTGGTTCCATTGGAATATGTGGTTGAATATGAACTTCGACCATTTATAAACAATTTGCAAATTTTGCCAAAAGGAGGCTTTTATGTATATCTTTGGAATTATAGGTGCCTAAGGGCCATGTGTGGATACAGGGAGATAATATCTATGCGTCGAAGGATTCACGGCACCTTGGGCCAATCCCTTATGGTCTGATCCTGGGAAAGGTTTTTTGTAGAGTAAGCTTCTTTTTCTGTTGATTAAATTTCTGGTTTATATGATTTCATTTTTCTAGAGTTGTAGCTTCCCAGTGGGAATAATTATGAATTGCCTGCCAATTTACTTTTTGGATGCGGTCCACCACTCTCGGCATGTCACCTAAATATAGACCCTTTATTAGTAAAACTTTTCCTGTATCATGCAATTTCAAAGCTGAAGAGAAACTTACTGTAACTAGCAAGATTGGAAGAAATTTTTGTAGGAGATTGAGTCCGGTGGTTGAAAATATAATGATTATTGTTTGAAATACTTGTAAATGAATAATTGATTGATATGATGGTAAATTATTATATTTTTAATTGTAGATAGTGTCTCCAACTGCTGATTATGCCATTAACTTGATACTCTACAATATCCATGATAATGGGGTTGTGGAAAGTACAAAAGCTTGAAATTTGTTTATTGTAAATATTTTACATGAGTGAAGCTGTCCTCTCCTTTGCTATTTCGCCTTTTTGTTCTCTTAATGATAATCCAAGCTACTCCACCCGTCCTGAAAATATTTCATTCTGGATCATCTCTTGTTAATGAATTTGTTTAACGACTTTATAACAAGTGCAATAGACATATCTGAGTGCTCCAAGTCCTTAGGGAAAAGAATTCCCTCAGAAATTTTATGACTAACTGCAATGATAATGAGCTTCTCCATTGAAGGAACAATTTAGTCAATTGTAAAATTTAACTTGATGTGTAGGTTATCAGTCTATACGATTCATTTGAAAAGTGATTTTTGAATGTGGTTGATTTGTGAACGCTACTTATATATTCTGTTTTACAGGTTTGGCCACCTGAAGGGTTTGGCTTGTTGGAGCAATAAGAATGATAGAATTATAACTTAAGGTAATGATCAACACTTTACCTTTGAGTAAAATGGTTGCTTATTGATCTATAATCTTTTCCTTTTAAGGGCTTTAATTTTTCATTCAACAGTCGTCATTTAACTTTAAGATGTAAAAGAATTTTCCATTGCTAGTCTAATTATATTCAACTCAGAAGTGTTTGAATCAATGTATTGTAGTTTGCTTTATAACTGATTATTCTGGTCGGAATCAGCACTGCAGTATTGTCATTGTTTGTCCTAGTTTTCTGTCATAACTCAGGGCATTGGGCTTTATATGTTGGTATTGTACAATAAACGTTGTATGTATCAGGTATTATTCTTGTTGACATGATTTAGGAGTTGGAGAGAGGAGTAAAATGGAGATCAGAAACTAGCCTGATTGCATTTGTGTATATAAGTTTTCTGATTGAAAAATTATATCTGAATTTTCTGGTATGAAAAAACTGTCACTATTTGATATCTGGCAACTTCACATCTTTTATGTTTCTGCCTACTGGTTCCCTGCAGCTAGAGCTTCCCGGAGGCTCCACTTTCTGATCAATCAGTTGCTTTATTTATGCCTTCATTCATCAGAATTCATGCCCGCAGCTGCTGCTAGAAACCATGGACTGCATAAATTATTCGCACGGAAATGTTTAGGAAGATTCAATTAAGAAAATGAACTCTTCCACCGAGAAGCATCTTGCTGCGGCTTATGAAGATGAACATTACCTTGTAACTATAAATTTTTAGCTATGACTGAGCACATGATGAATCCATTTGGCTCCGATGATATGTGCAATACAAATATTTCTTGCAGAGATCACAATTTATGTCATGACGTGTTTTGTAATTTGTTTTAAGGTTTTTTTTTGCATTAGTTGGAGAATGTCCCTTCACATTCTGTTGTGCTTTTATCAGCGACGAAAACCCATCCTCTGCCAAAAACTCATTTCTGCCTCGTCTGTAATTTACACATGGATTAATGCTGTTTGAACTCAGTGGTGTAAGTACCCGTCTTATTTTTCTAATTTTTGTTGCTGATAGGAACGAGGAAATGTGTCTTGGAGAAAGAATAACAATCCAGTGAAAGTTACACGGGTTGTAAGCTTTTGGCAAACATATATACAGATTGAATGGAGTGGTGCAAAAGGTTTCATTTTCACGCGAGTTCTCTAGATGAAATATTGTGATGACATAATTTTAAACTAAAAAATTTAAAGCTTCTGCAAAATTATTGAAGCACCGAGCTGGGGTTGAAGTGTCATAACTGGGAAGGGTGCATGCACATAAGATGGAGACAGCTCAAATGAGAATTTTTGTAGAATCATTGATACAGCCATTTTCGCCTCAATCATCGCAAAGTTTTGTCCAATGCAGACTCGAGGACCTGCACTGAATGGCAAGAAGCAGAACTGAGTCTTTGTTGCATTGAAAATTCCTTCAGAAAATCTCTGCGGTTTGAACTCCTTCACATCTTTCCCCCAAATCTTGGGGTCGTAATGGAGTAGGCCTATTAGCAGTGTCAATTGTACTCCGACTGGTAGAGTCGTGTTTCCCAGCTTCACTGGCTTCGTAGGAGCACGAATGATCAAAGGGGCAGGTGGATACAGCCTTAAGACTTCTTGAAGAATCATAGTTACCTGCAGGTACAGTGTTGTTAGAATTGATGATTTCAATTATATGGTGAAATATTATAGCAGGGAATAAGAATTTTTACAGTTTTAAGGTGGTTTAGTTCATCAAAAGTTGGCGTTTTCATCCCAAAAACTTGCAAAACCTCGTCTCTTGCACGGACTTGCCATTCTTGATGTTTACTTAGCAATACAATAGTCCACACGAGTAAATTTGAAGTCGTCTCAGAGCCAGCAAAGTAGAATAGTTTACACTCCTCAATTACCTCTTCGATGCTCATCCCTCCACTCTTGTTTCCATGTTCTTGAATTTCCTTGAAATTCGATTCCATTAAGATGCCTAATAAGTCATCAGCAGTAGCTTCTCCTCTTTCCATTGCCTTCTCTCTTTTGTTGACAATACCCCTTAACAAGGCCTGAATTTCTTGAGAGATTGCTTTCACTCTTCTGTTTGCTTTGATTGGTAAATATCTGTCAACAAAACAAATTAGCCCTTCAAAGCTAAACCAATATTCAAGTGATCTTCATCATGTTTATGTAAAAATTTAATGTGTACCTCCATCCCGGGATAAAACTGAACTGCAATAGTTGCAAAACGAGCTCGACTTCTTCTTTTTGAAGCTCGAATATTCTCCTTCCATCTTCGAAGTTACAACCAAATGCTGTCCGTGAAATGACATCACCTGTTAAATCTTCAATAGATGGCCAAACATCCAGTTCAAATGAACCTTCAGTTCTTGAAACTAATGCTTCCCATTTGTCTATCATATTGGAACAGCTCAAATTAATTTCTGGTACCATATTCTACATAAACAAATTAAATTTCATAAGTTCCATCAAGCTAATTTACATTGAAATATAATTGATGGGAAACTACCTTCAACTTCTCTAAATGGAAGGCAGGGTTGATAATTTTCCTATGTTTTGTCCATTTTTCATTTTCAAGAAACAGTAGCCCTCCCACAATGGTATCACGTATAGGGTCTGGATGTGGCTTCTGAAATAGTCCTGGTTTTGTCAAAATCTCCTTCATGAGCTCGGGATCAGTGACATTCAATCTCGGTGATGGCCCGAACCATACGAAGGAACTCTTACCTGATTAAACAATTTCACTCGGACTGTTAAGAATGTATGCAATTCTGAAATAAATGCTGCTAATATTGTAAGTATGAATTGTACTTAATGCAGCTTACCAAACTTCTTGATGATCTGGTAATAATACGGAAGAATGTGAGAGGATATATCATCACAGAGTTTGACTGATCTGGGCCGTTCTTCTTTCATGGAGGTGATAAAGTCTTTCATGTCTCCTATAAAGAATCTGTAAGAATTCCCATTAAAACCTTGCTTTCTTAGGCATTTCTCCAGCTTCTTAGGCCTTAGCCAGACCCAATTTAGAAATTTCACTGTCCATGTTACGGATGCTATTAAAATGCAGGTGAAAAGTATGCCGAATGTTGCATCCATCTTTTCCTGGCTAAATCAACAGATTTTTGTCTCTTTCTCTCTCACGGGAACAATTCTCGGGCTAGGTCCAATTCCAAACCCCACGGAGCAGTAAATTTGCATATATAGGTGAGTCGAAGTCAAGGGAGAGTTTATTCTATCGAAGTTCTTAGAGTTATCCTTGTAAATGCAGTCAATTTTGTCTAGACTTCCAATTGCCACCCAAGAAAAATCGCCCTTTTGTCAGCACTTTTTTGGCTTTAGGTATTGATACCGGCTGAACAGGCTTTCTTTTCTTTATACTTTGTTCAATGCTCTTTATGTTGAGCATGTCATGTATGTTGGGCATGTTTTCAACTTTAAAATGTTACGAGTTATGTTCCTAAGAGAGCTTTAATCCTACATTAATCTGTTCAATCCGGAAATCTTGAGTTGAAGAGAGAATGTACAAGATTGCTTTATCATAAGTAAGATTGAATTCTTGAAGACCAACTAGTCATGTTAAGATGATGTTTCCGAATCCATAAGTTACGATTAGAGTAATAACTCTTATGACATATTTGGTACAGCATATGATATATTCGATACGGTATAGTACAATATAAGATAATCAAGATTCTAACTTATATTAGTTATTCATCTCATTTAATTACATTCAATCTAGCATACCAAACATCTAATTAGGACCAAGGCTTGGATTAGAGCTTATGCAAAATCAGTGGAGCTCCATACTGGGGCTGAAGAGTGATAATGGGGAAAGGAGAATGTTTATAAGATGAGGAGAATTCAAATGAGAAGCGTTGTAATATCATTGCCAGAGCTGTTTTTGCTTCAATCATTGCGAAGTTTTGTCCAATGCAGATTCGAGGACCTGAGCTGAAAGGTATGTAGGTGCCACCAGAAATTCCTTGAGAAAATCTCTCAGGTTTGAACTCCTTTGAGTCGTCCCCCCAAATCTTAGGATTGTGATGTAGTTGGCCTATTAGCAGTGACATCTGTACCCCGGCAGGTAGAGTCATGTTTTTGAGTTTCACAGTCTCTGTAGTGGTTCGAACCATTAGAGGTGCTGGTGTGTACAACCTCAAAACTTCTTGGAGAATCATTGTAACCTGTTAAGTATAGTGTGGTTAGGATAAAAAATCTTCAGAAAACCTGTCATTTGTAAAATTTCAGCGCATACGCATTTAAAATGTTAGTAGAAAGTGGTTCAGATTGAGAGTAATTTAAGGGATTTGTTGTGAGGTTTGATCCTAGATGTATTTTTGTACAGAAGCATGCAGATCCACTCTTGTGGAGCCTAATGGGATGTGTATCAATTTCTAATCAGACCTCGGTAAATGGATTTGTTCTTGTGCCTTATTTTTGTTTATGTGTTTAAGCGAAGAGAAAACTTACAATTTTGAGGTGATTTAGTCCTTCTGAAGTTGGTTCTTCTTTCCCTAAAATTTGAAAAACTTCTTCTCGGGCTCGAGCTTGCCATTCTTGGTATTGGCTTAGCAATACCATAGTCCAGACTAGTAAATTAGAAGTTGTCTCAGACCCAGCAAAATAAAACAGTTTGCATTCCTCGATAACATCCCCAATACTCATTCCCATGTTCTTGTTTCCATGTTCTTGAATTTCTTGCAAATTCGATTTCATTAATAATCCCAACAAGTCATCTCTAACTGTTTCTCCCCTTTCCATTGCCTTTTCTCTTTTGCTAACAATACCTTTTAGCAAGGAATGTATTTCCTTGGAGATTGCTTTAAATCTTCTGTTTGCTTTAGTTGGAAAGAATCTGTGTTCCATAAAATTAAATTCATCGAACTAAACAAAATTCTTTTTTGAAACATTAGCTTATACAAAAAAATTTGTTTGTTACCTCCATCCAGGGATAAAAGATAACTGCATTATTTGCAAGGAGAGTTTAACTTGTTCTTTCTGGAGCTGAAAAATTCTTGTCCCTTCTTCATGACTGCTGCCAAATGCTGTGCGCGAAATCATGTCCCCGGATAAATCTTGAAGGTATGGCCAAATATCGATTTCGGAAGAACGTTCATTGAAACCAATGATTCCCATTTGTGCATCATACTCGAACAACTCATACGTATTGCCACTAGCGTGTTCTACAAGCAAAATTAAGGGTCCATGAATCAGAAGTATGAACTTTTAGCATAAAGGTTCATATGATCGAAAGTATGAACAAGAGTGTTATAGAAGCGCATATTTAGGATCGGCTACATGAATCTTTTTCTTAGATGTACCGAAGTAGGCAAAAGTTATGGAAGATTAGGACTACCTTCAACTTGTGTAGATTGAAAGCAGGGGTGACTATCTTTCTATGTTTAGCCCATTTTTCACCTTCAAGAAACAAAAGCCCTCCCACAATAATCGACCCCAAATCCGGAACTGGCTTTCGAAATACATCAGGTTTCGATAAAATCTCCTTGATAAGCTCCGGATCAGTAATATTCAACCTTGGTGATGGCCCAAACCATATGAATGAATTCTCACCTGATGTTCAAGTAAGTTGCAAGGTTACTAATGAAAATGGAAAAAAAAGAAAAAAAAAAGAAAAAAGAAATTTATATGAAAATACATACCAAACTTGTGGATGCTCTGGTAGTAATAATGAGAAATATGCGGTGCCATATCGTCTGAGATTTTGATTGATTTGGGCTGTGTTTCTTTCATGAATCTGATCAATTCTTTCATGTCCCCAATAAAAATTTTGTAAGGATTTCCATTGATTCCTTGTTTTCTGAGACATTTTTCGAGATTCTTAGGCCTTAACCACGCCCAGTTTAGCAGTTTCACTGCAAATCTTATGGATGCAGCTATGATGATAGAGGTGAATATTGAGATTAGTGTTGCGTCCATTTTTCCCCCAGAAACACTAATCCACCCAAAACTTTTCCAGGATAAAGTTGATAATTTAAATTATTGTTCTTATTTGAAAATATAATTTATTAAAAGGACATTTTTAAGAATGTTGAATTTTAAGGGTACGAGTTGAAAAGTATCCACTCATTTGAATTTAGTGTCAACTTGTCTATTATGTCCTTAATGAAAAGCTACATTTTGAAATGGTATTCTCGACATTTTAAATGTCCTTCTCAACATTTGATTTTTTTTATCAATTTGTCATGAATTTTTAGAAGTGACTTTCATGAGGAGTTATATTAAAATAATGTTTCTTGACATTTCATATGTTATTCTCGACATTTAAACATCATTTCATTTATTTAGAATGACATTTCATTTTGAACATGACATTTCTCTACATTTAAAAATATTGTTCTCGACATTTCTAAATCAATAAAAAATATAACATTTATTATGATTTGACACGTATACTTGTTGAAATAAATATGACAGGTTATGTGTCAAAATTTTATTGGCCAATAACAATATTGCAATTTTTTTGTCTTAGTATGGAATTATAAATTGTTAATAAGAGTATTTTGGTATAAATTCTTCCAAATTAAACATTTTTATAATGGTGGATATTTTTACAAATGACTAGATAAAAAGAGACATTTTGTGAAATTTCCTCTTTATTAAATTCACAATCTAATCAGTCAGTGATGTGACGTGAGAATTGTCTCTATTAATTGGTTATAAAGAGAAGTGGCTTGGAACACCAAAGAAAATTATTTTACTTATCCACAGGAACTCGTATACAATTTAATTATATTGTACAAGGAAATACCTTCACTCCAATAATTGAATGCATAGTCAAAATAAAAAAATCTTCACTCCACCGACACTTGCAGCACACTTTCCTAAAAAAAATTGAACCCCAACATTGAGGTCCTTATCGCCTCACCCCTGGAGCATCGTGAAGAAAATAAATCGCGAGATATGTTCCAACAAGTCAGGGAATAAGAATTTATCTGTACATTGGTGTCCACAAAGAGTCTAATTCCATATCTCAGGAATTAAACCATGTTAAAAGGATGGACTGCCTCACTATTTCTTTTTAATTGGACCCTACTAAAATTGGAGGAGGCCCAAATTTCACGCTTTTGTGCCTCTTGTGTTTGGGTGTGTGCCGTACACGTGGCACATCCCCAACCGTTAGATAAAGGCGGTCCAACTGATTTTGATATTTACTTGGCTCTTGGCCGTTTGACGTTTCGGTTGCACTCTCTCTAGAACTTTCTGTCTTTCTCTCTGTGTGAGAGTCTGTTCGTGTTTTTCCTTTCTATGAAATGTAATACTAAATCTGTGTGATTTTTGAAAGTCTTTTGAGTAAGGATTGTAAAGTTCGAGTGATCTTTGTGATATTGTTGAAAGGAAATCTGTATGGAAAAGAGGCTCTTTGTGAAAATTAGTGGAAACTCGAGCATATTTCTTGATTGAGGCTCAACGGGTGATTAGGTCCTTGGACTGAACATCCGGGCTCCATTTTGGAGCAAAACATATCTGGTGTTCAAATTTCGTTTATTCTATCTTTTATTCTGAAATCATTTTTTGGTTCGTGAATAAACCTTTAAAATACAAGATTATATCAACTCTGGGACCAACAAGTGGTACCAGAGCGATTTTTAAAAGGATTTTTTCTAACTATGTGTTGCAAAATCTTTTCTCGTTGTTGAACTTGCAAGATCTGGAGTTTGTGCTCATTGTTTTGTAAAGAAAACTTTCTGGAATTTCTTTGTAATTCTCGATTTACTTTCGATCGGTAAATGACCGGTCAGATCTGAAAGTTTCTTGAAGATCTTGCAAGATCTTGTTACTGATTTGTTGTTCTTGGATAATCTTGTTACAAAATTAGATAACTCGACACTAACTCGCTTTGATATATTGTTTATGTACTCTATTTTTAGGAAATCGGTGCAGCTCGTACTGAGTCGGTGAGATGAGTTGACTCAATCCGAGTTTACACCGAGTTCTTGATTTACTGCTAAGTTCATATTGAGTCACTACAACTCGGAGGGTTCTTGAGCTTGACTCGGAGTTCTGGTTCAATTCTTTGCTACTTACTGATTGATAATTTATTCTAAAATTAATATTTCGGTAACCTCTAAACCTAAAATTTATTCTGTTAGTCAGTATATTAAATAATTTCTTGGACCCAGTCATTAAGGTAAGTAATCTACCACTACTCATCTTTGTCCAAGATTTCCTACGAGGATCTGGGAATCTGAGGGGGTAGTGGAAACCAAGATTACCACTCCTTAGGCTGTTAAATAGTGCACATTATTCCTGTCATCAGTTATTGATCTCTGTATTCACAACTTTGTATTACAATACACTGTATGTTGCATTGTTATGGTTTTGTAAATAATTTGTCAATATGTCAACTGCTCAGAAATTTGATGTTGAAATTTGGAATGGTACCGGAGACTTTAGTATCTGGCGCCAGAAAATGAGGCCCCTGTTAGTGCAACAGAGGTGTGCTGGTACACTTGATGGCACCTGGGCTAC